TACAGATCTTAGAAATCTTTGTTATTATTGAAAGTATAGTCTAATTTCTCTCTTTTTATTCTTTAATTATTTCAGTCACTCCCAACCCTATATTGTTAAGATGAATTCAAGTAAAAACTAACTTACTAATTCATTATAACAATATAAAAATTTAATTTAGATTGTTCTTTACTTAATATAAAAAAATTATAAAGATTGGCTAAAATTTAGATAATTTTTATTAGAAGCAATTATTAATATTTATATTGATATATCAATCTTTTTGCACTAATCAATATTAATTATTTATTATTATATAATTATATAATTAATAAAAAATTTAATATTTTTATTAAATAATAAAATAAAGTATTTTTATAATTATTTATAATTAATATATTTATATTTTTAATTTCTTGATATAGTTTTGTAAAATAAAAATAAATTTGTTTAGATAATAACTTGATTCTTTTAATATAAAATTTATTAAAATAATATTAAATATATTAATTTAAAATTTTAAATATATTTTAAATATTCATTTCTAAAAATTTATAATATTTAAATAAATTTTATTAGAATAAAAATCTTTATGCAAAGATTATTATTATAAAATAAAATAAAGCTATTTTAATTTTTTTAATTTTAAAATAAAATATTTAAACAGGTTTGAAATAATTATCAAAAATTATTATTTTAACACAAAAGTTATTATAATACAGTACATCTTTTTGATATTATAATAAATAAATAAATTTAATTAAAATTATATTCTCAAAGTGTATTTCTCTTGGAGTTGTAAAAATATACTGTGTATATTTAGAAAGAGTTTGTATTTATAGATAGCAGAGTTCTTATAAACTGAAACAGATTATGCTATATACTTAGAGAGAATTTATATAGTTTATGCACTTAGAAAGATACAATTATAAAATAAATTTTAAATTTTCAGTTTACATCTGAAACTGATCTTAGTTTCAGAACAGAAAAATTTTGAATTGATTCAAACTAATTGAATTTTTAATTATATACTGTAACTTACATTAATTTTGTATTATTCTTATTATATAAATTTTGATCTATAGAGTTTTTATTAAATTTACTAATTATTTTTTCTTATTATTCCATTATAAATTAACTATAATTTAATTTTATTTCTATGAATTTTTCATATCCTTTAGATATTTGTTATAAAATTAAAAAATTAAAATATTTTGAAGATTAAGCTAATAAAAAAAATCAAAGAATTTCGATGCTTGATTGTACAACAACATGCTCCAGAAACAAACCAGCTGCTAAGGAATTTCTTACTCTTCTTTTGTGTTGACAATATCGATGAGTGTGAACGAACTGAATATTCGGTGTAGAAAAGTATTTTACAATTTAACCAGTCAAATTTTAACCAAAAAATTAATTTCAATTCCAAAAATACAAATATTTTTATGAGTTAAACTAAATCCCAAATGAAGAAGTATTAATAATATTTTTTCTTTAGTGGTGCAGGTTTAAAAAGAACATTATTTTTTGTAGGAAGAAAATAGTAATTTCTTTATTAGTAAAGCTTTCTACATTCCACAGTATCAAATCAAATGTTTTTTCTACTGGCATCTTTAATTTAAATCATAAAATATTAAATAACGATGATCTGTTTACCACCAATTAAATTAATTTCATGTGCATGTTTAAACGAATGAGAATCTGTAGTCGTCGAGCTGGATCACAATTCCTAATCTTTCCAACAAAAGAATTACTGTTGTTTATATTGAAATCAAATGTCTAATAATCACGCATATACATGTAGTAATGATAATGCGAATGCCGAAATCATCTAACTATTGATATCTTGTCATAATCTAGTTCGCGTGTGCATGCTAACCTTGTATATACGTTAAGTAATAATGTTATGCATATCAAAAAATTAGCTTCAAAAAATGCACGTACATATAAATATTGTCATAAAAGAGCCGCGTCTCTTCGTTACAATTGAATTTCGTCGCAAATTCAAATAAGGGTTGCTTAGCAAAAACTTTATCCCTACTTCCTTCTATATACATTAGATTTTTAAAATACAGACTGGTTTTCTGTATTTATTGTAATCTTTAGAAACACTTCGTTTTAGAAAAACCCTAAATATATTCTTTTCCGCACTTCTTTCGGTCACACATCTTAATTGCAAATATCATTTCCTAATCAAAAAAATAAAATGAAGGTTTTTACAGCGTTAGCTCTCTTGATGGCAGCTATTTCGTTAACCACCGATGCAGCACCCGCCTCGAAACCATCCGTAGTCAAACTTGATTTGAAGAAATATGAGTTTCCCACTTATTTTACTTGGCTCCAAAAGTCACAATTCAGTAAAAATCATGCACTATTGAAGTATTCGAATAATATTCGATCAGCATATAGTCAAGGTTTAGTTGGTCAAGAAGCCATCGTAAAATTAGAAGCAGCATCCACTCCAGTATTTGGTGCTTCCTCCCCGAAAACTTTCATTATTAATAATAAAGCTAATAGTGCTAGCGATAATAGCAATGACGATCCAGTTGGCAAAGATAGAAAAAAGAAACACGGAAAAAACAACAATCCCGACAATAGTCAGCCCGATAATTCCAGCAATCAACCTGACAATACACCCAAAGGCGTTGTCGAAGATCCTCTTACAGATGAGGGATTTGACATTGGATATCACGGCCCAGTTGAAATAGGAGGACAAACATTTGATGTAATTTTCGATACTGGTTCAGCTGATCTTTGGGTGCCATCGCAAGATTGTACTGATGACGCTTGCAAAGCTCACAAATCTTATGATCCAAAAAAGAGCAAGGGATTCAAAACTAATAATAAGCCATTTGAAATTAAATATGGTACTGGTCAAGTTTCTGGAATTATTGCAGTAGATGACGTCT